GGGGGAGGAGGAGAAAAGTCAGGTATGGTGGCGCGGGCCTGTTGGCCCAGCTACTTGAGAGGCTGAGATGGGAGGATGTCAAGGCTGCAGTGAGCCGGGATCGTGCCACTGTACTCTCCAGACTGGGGACAGAGTGAGACTGTCTCAAAAACACACACACATACACCAACAGGAACTAACCTGCCAAGAGGGAGCAGTCTCAAGCAGGCCCTGGTGTTCCCATGTGGAAGGAGACGGGGCAGGGCAGCAAGCCCATGGAATGAGCACCGGGAGAGGGAGGTGCCGGGAATGGGGAGTCACACTTTTCTTTTTTTTAAAGAGAAGGAGTACTACTATGTGGCCCAGGCTGAATTCAAACCCCTGGGCTCAAGCAATTCTCCCACCTCAACTTTCCAAGTAGCTGGGATTACAGGTGTAAGCCACACCTGGCACAAGGGGACACACACACACACACACACTGCTGGCCAGAGTACAAACCTCCCGGCCTTTCAGGGAAGGTATTTTGACAAGCTGCATTTGATTTTAATTTGCACATGCCCAAAGACACAAAGAGAAGATTCACAGAACAGGAATTACTAATGGCTCTTCATCATAAGAAAAGAGGGTTCACTCTCACTCTTAGCAAGAGCAGCTCAAATTACAGTACACTGAGATTCCATTTTTCATCTCAAGAATGGCAGAATACATGCTTTGGTAACACAGAGTTGGCGAGGCTGTGGGGGAAAGGGGTTGTCTCCCATGCCAGTGACGGGGGGAGTTGGTCTTCCAGGAAAAGCAACTTGGCAATGGATGTCAAAGTCACGAGCGCAAACACATTTCACTTCCCGGAGTTCTTCCTACAGATGTAATTTCTACATGAGGAAGAGGATGCACATGAAGCACAGCCCAGGTATTCACGGCTGTTAACGACGTGCTGGGTGACTGAGGAGAATCATTTGCTCTCTGAACCTCAGTTTACTCATCTGTCAAACAGGCTGATGATCTCTAGCTTCCCTTACCTCAAATGAGGGCCAAGAGCCTTAAACCAAGTGAGATACTGGACGCAAAAGAGCCTGGCGAGCGGTAAGGCACCACGGCCACGTTGAGCGGCTGGGCGTCAGGGAGATGGTCAGTCAACCCCTCCGTGTGCAGGGCAGAGGCGGCTCAGCCCCAGGCTGGCAGGCAGACCCTCCCTCTGGAGCGGCTGGAGGCTGCTCTGCCAGCAGGGGGTGGAGTGGGTGAGGCAGGTTTCCTTCCTCCTCGCTTCCCTCCCAGCCTTTGGTTTCTGCTTTTGGCTGTGGACTTGGGCAAGTCCCTCACTCGCTCTGAACACCTCTACAAATCCAAGACATTCCCCGTGGAGCAGCGTGGGGACAAAAGTAAATGAGACAGTTCCTGATCTTGAAGAGCTCACAGACAGGTGGGCTACAACCTTGACATGTGAAGAGAATGCTACAAGGAACACTTGAGTATTTTATTGAATGAAGTGTTGTCTGATTTATTTATTTATTTTTCAGAAAGCAGGATTTATTGAGAGGACAGAAAAGCTCCCACAGTGGGAGCAGACCTGAAGGGGTTGCCCCATGCTGTCTGATTTAAAAAACAACAACAAAATACTACAATCCAGAGTGACATATGACAGAACTGACACATGTTCTAGTGTCACATGGTATGCAGGCTATGTGGCTGAGAGAGGGTTCTGAGGTCAGAAAGCCCATTCTGACTCCCACATGGAGGAGCCCAGGAATGACTTTTTCTCCCAAGCCTCCATTTCCTCAGCTGTAAATGAGTTGTGAGGATTCTGACTTCTGCACTGGAAATCCTTGGCACTGTGCCTCGAGTTACCCTCCCAATGGTCCACACCACTGTATCATTGTGTAAAGGGACTCCTGAGGAGCTGGCACACACCATTTCTACAGAGATGCAGGGGAGGGTCAGAGACGGCCAGAGCAGATGCCACTTGAGCAAGGTCCTGAGGGTCAAGCACAGGGTCTGGTGGCCTGGTATGCAGTAAGACCTAGATAAATGCTGAGTTTGCTTTCTGTACAAGAAAAGGAAGTGCTTATTTGGCAGAAGGACCTGCGTGTGTAGAGGCCCAGAGCTGGGAATGTACACATGGGACTTCGTGGCTTAACCGACAAACCAGTGCTGCAGCTCATTTCCACATATTCCCTCTAATTCAGCCCAATATCTCAGGTGGGAGGAGGTTTCCTGTTACTCAGTGACAGCCCAAGGCTGGACAGACATCCTGCCACACAGAGGACTCTGGTCTCTATTGTGGGTGACTATTATGACTATCCCATGCTGCAGTGTTGAGTCAGAATGGGAGACCTGAAATTTAACTGACGATAACAGTAATGAGGTTAACATTTACTGAAAACTTTCCATGTGCCAAACACTGTTGTACGTACTTTACATAATTTCATCCTCACAAAAATCCCACAAAGCAGGAACTTTTAAAAGATCCATTTTATCGACGAGGAAGTTGAAGCTTAGAGAAATGAAGTCACTTGCTTAGTGTCACACAGGTGGCAAGTAACAGAGCCAGGATTCAAATTGAGGCAGTCTGGTTCCAACCCAAATTCTTGGCAGCTATCATTCCTATCCGGAAATTTCTATGGAAAAGATGCTCAGGAAGTCTAAGAACTTTCTGAGGAACAGTCCTGAAGGTAACTGAACAGTTAATCTGTGTAGTTACAAAAATAATAAAAGTTGTTAGGAGTCTTTACCAATTTGATTGGAATTTTTAAAAGCAGATGCATGCATGCAAATGCATTAGCTCCTAAAACACAAACATAATTAGAATGGGCAAAAAGTTGACATAATAGCAGAAATAAATTTAGCTTCCAGTGATTTTTCTGAATGTTCAGTTATCAGGACAGAAGCAAAAACAGTAAGAAAGACAGACGCCCAGCTTCAAGCCACTGGCGCGGCTTGAATTCTAGGCTCACTGCTTCCAGGTTGAGCCCAAGAAACAATCTGGAATTCACGGACCACTCTGTCATTCTGTCACTCCAGCTGAGGCCTCAGGGTCTCCTCTCCTTACCACTCCATTCAGCCCCTCAACTCTGCACAACTGTGTTTCCTGAACTAACCTCCTACCCAGATTCCCTGAGCCCTTCTGTCGTCTTCAACACAAGCCTGCACCAGACTCTTTGCCCTTCTCCCTTCTTCCTGTCACCTACCCTGCCACGAGCTCTTTCTAAAGCCTGTGGCTGACTGCATCACACACCTGCTTAAAAAGCTCTGGAGAATGGACTACTCTGCAGCCATTAAACAAGAATTGAGGTCACTGCTGGTGGGAGAGTGAACCTGACACTGCCTCTATGGCAGATCACTTGGTAAAAGCGACCTAAATAAAAACGCACATAGCCTTCAACCCAGCAAAATCAATTTCAAGAAATTTATCGTATAAATACACGGGTAAGCGTGAAATAACAAATGTGTAAGGATATTCACATCAGCAGTTTGTAACAGCAAAAGGTTGAAACAACCCACGTGACCAGTGACGGGTTCTAGATCAGTGGTTCTCAAACTTGAGCATTATCAGAACCACTAGGAGGGCTCTTTAAAACACATATTGCTGGGCCCACCTCAGGCTTCTGATTCAAAACTTGCATTTCTGACAAGTTCTCAGGTGATGCTGATGCTGCTAGTCTGAGACCTACACTTTGGGAACTAGAGGGGTATAGGTGGGACACCATACAGCTGGTTTTTTTTTGAGTCAGAGTCTCACTCTGTCACCCAAGTTGGAGTACAGTGGCATGCTCATGGCCACTGCAGCCTTGACCTGCTGGGCTCAGATCCTTCTGTTTCAGCACTCTAAGTAGGTGGAACTATAGGCACACGCTACCACGCCCAGTTTATTTTTTCATTTATTGTAGAGACGAGGTCTTACCAAGTTGCCCCGGCTGGCTGGTCTCGAACCCCTGAGCTCAGGCAATCCTCTCGCCTTTGCCTTCTAAAGTATTGGGATTACAGGCTTGAGCCACCACGCCCGGCATACATATGGCTGTAAAATAACATGCCCACACCATATGCACTGACATGATCTGACCTCCAAAGTACATTTGGTGAAAAAAGCAAGGTGCAGGCCAGGCATGATGGCTCACACCTATAATCCCAGTATTCTGGGAGGCTGAGGCAGGAAGATCGCTTGAGCCCAGGAGCTCGAGACCAGCATAGGCAACATAGAGACCTTGTCTCTACAAAAAAATAAAAAAATTAGTTGGGTGTGGTGGTGCATGCCTGTAGTCCCAGCTACTCAGGAGCCTGAGGCAGAAAGATCACCTGAGCCCAAGAGGCTGAGGCTGCTGTGAGCTGTGACCATGCCAGGGTGACAGAGTGAGATCTCAGAGGAAAAAAAAAAAAAAGAAAGAAAAAAATCAAGTTGCAAAGCAATATGAAATATGTATTGTATACTCCCATTGCTATAAAAAGTCCACCTATGTATATCTACACAGGCATACATAATATGTGTGTGTATACACAGAAAAAATTCTGGAAGGTTATACACCAAACAGCTAAATGGGTTACTTCCAAGGAGGAGTACTGAGGAGGCTTTTCCTTTCTATGTCAGCCTGGCTTGACTTTTTGTAAGTGTGTAGTATTTTTGAAACTGAAGATTAACTGTTGCATTGCCTGCAGGATTCTGTCCCTCAGAAAGGTGGAGGGCTCACGAAACATCTTCCTAGCACGGCATCTCAGCCCTTCCTGGGCCCACAGCACACTCCTTACCACCTCCGTGGGCACCTGTTGCGGCCCCGGCCTCCTCCTCCTGTGCTGCCCGCTGAACTCTCACCCATCCACATCAAGACAACTGCTGCCCCCTCCAGGAGGCACACTGGAATTCCATCTTGTTGGCAGGTCCCACAAGTGTTTGTCCTTGGTGACTGGGCTCTGTGAGGGCGGGGCTTGGCTTTCTTTGTCCTGGCACTCTTGGTACCCAGCCCGGAGCCTGGCAGAGAGTGGGAGCCCAGTGCTGTTGGCTGAGGAGACTTTTAAACATTCTGATGTACAGCTACTGCTTGGGCCAGATCGCCTCCCTTCAGTGGATGTGTGTTGGCAGAGATGGCCGCTACACTGGGATTGTCCTCAGGAGGCCACCTCTCCCTGACACACTCCTGGGTGCTTCACCTTCTCCCCAGGATTTCCCAATATGCCCTGCCTGTTACGGACACGTTGGGCCCTGGAAGAATTCTGTCTTCACACACCCTGTCTCCCAGTTGGTTTTGGGGTCTGATACTGGTAAGAAGTCAAAACTCCTGGATCCCCCACACAAACCCTTCTCACTCCTTGCCAAGTGACCAGAGAAAAAGACTCCAGGTAGAAAAGGGAGTCACTTGGCCTGTCCTTTCCCCAAGTACAAATGCTACTGGTATGAGTCTTCAGAGGCACCTGTATGAGGAAGAGAGCCCTAGGACTAGGTACACCTGATTCTGCCCTTAAGTGGCACAGTGACATTTCTTTGACCCTCAGTTTCTTTTTCTACATAATGGGAATAGTGACACTGCCTCTGCCTGCCACCGTGGTTGCTGTGAGCATCAAAGGCGGTAAAGATTTTGCAAACTTTAGAGCATTCAGGCCACTGGTGGTGGCAGGCTCTTATTGGTCAGGTCCTGTTACGGTGCTCCAGCCTTACTGCCCTGTAGGAGATGCTTGGGACGAGCACTTTCTTCTCTCCGTACCCTCTGCCCCAACTACATCAGACCTTTATTTCCTGCACTGCTCTGTACCTTCCTGTCTCTGTACCTCTCTCTGCTTACCTGGTTTCTTCTGCTTGGAATGCCCTCTCCTGGCTGAAACTGCACCTCTGTATCAAGACTCAAGCCTACCTCTATCTGACACAAAGCCTCCCTGCCTGGCCCCAGATGGCCACAAGCTTTCTCCAGAAACCCTACAGCACTGCTTGTATTATCATCATCACCCATCTGGTTATTCCTCCTTCATCCGGACTCCTGAACTCCTTGGTGACAGGGCTCTGACCTACTCATCTTTGCAGCCCTCCACCCTGGATGATAGTGGACGTTCAGGAAATACTGTAGCTTGGAAGGTGTTTTCTGAAGAGACTGGTGGCCCATGTGCAGAAGCTGCCAAGGAGAATTACTCAGACAGTTTAGGAACAAGCTGCCCAGCCTTACGCCAAGCTGCTCTTTACCTCCTTTATCTTTTCTATTTCAGGACTACTTTTGATATCAACTGTCTGCCTGGCAGGCATGGTAGAGAGGCTTAAGGGTACCTGAACAATGCTTGGAAGAGAGAGAACAGAAAGGAAAATGGGGTCACACCTGCATCTCTCCCTAAGCCCTGTCTGACTACTCTCCTTTGCGTCTGACCACAGAGAGAGCCAGCAGTGACTTCTCTGATTTTGGGGAAGGAAGGTGGCAGGCTGCAGCCACTGCTCAAGTTGGGTAGTGTTTCAAAAAAACTGAGCTTGAGCAGTTTCAAAAGTGGCAGCTGCTCTGTGGGCCTGCCCTCTTTGGGTAAGACAGCTTCCGCTTAGGTCCATCTCAGGTCTGGGTGGGGGTGGAGCATCAGGGAGCTGCAGATTAAGAGGGTGTGGAGGAAGGGAGAGGGTGCCCGGAAGTGAGAAGTCATTGGTACAGCGGGTTAGAAAGGCTCAATAAAGGCAAGTAGCGAGGGTGGGGAAGAGGAGGGAAAGGGGAGGCCAAAGGTGGAAGCTGTAGGAGTTCTCTTTGGTGTCTAATGGAACAGATGTCAGGAAAGGCTGGTGATGGGGTCTGGCTAAGTCTCACAAGACAGTGGCTTGGTTGCTCTTGAGCCAACAGTGGCTCACTCAGTAAGTAGGCCCAATCTGGTGGAGGGGATGTCTGGGGGGGCGGGTAGAGAGAAAGGCTACTTTGAGGCAGGGTCAGGGGGCTGGGGTGGGAAAAAGATTAGGGGTTAGGACCAGCATCTCGGTTTTGGCTAGGCCAGGTCCAAGGCTGGATGGTAGTGAGGGACAGGAAACCAGCAAAATAAGATAGGTAAAAAAGTTAAGGAGGGTAACCCCCTTAGGTCTCCTCTCAACGTGGGAGCTTTTGTCCTCTTAATAAATCCTGCTTTAAAAAAAAAAAAAGTTAAGGCAACAAGGTGCCGGGTTCTAAGGAGCCGGCTGACTGAAACTGGTTCCAGAAAGTGATGTGAGCAAACTGTCTCTGAGGCTGGTGCAAGAGCCTGATGTGGGAGTTCTGGGGGCGCTCAAAACGTGCCATAGACTCCGGGGACAGGAGTCAAGGTCTGGGGTGGGTCTGGGTGGCAGAAACGGCGCTGGGGTAGGGGCAAGGCAAGGATCCCAATCGGAGATGTCAAGAGATGTACCTTTCTGGATTTCTCGGGACCAGCATCCCATCAGGTACAGGTTGGGGCTGACCCAGAGACCAGGATGGGGCTGTTCCGGCCGTGGCCAACAAGATCAAAGCCATCAGAGCCCGAGTCGCAGGGGGTGAGCGCCGGCTGACAGTGCTCCTGGGCGCGGCATGGTGCACAGACAGCGATGCGTCAGACTTCGGGGGGGGACAGAAACAAGCCCCTGTCGGAGTTAGGCGTCGGCACCAGACTCCGGCCCGGGATGGAGGGAACGGGTAACCGGC